TCTTGTGTTTCTTAAAATATAGGAACCCTGTCTACCACTTGGTATGTTGGAGTTAAGTGGAGCCCTTATAGTGAGGTTGCGTCTACTTGGGAATAAGAGGATGTTTTTCGCTCACAGTTTCCAAGCATAATGGAAGAATAATGAAAGGAAGTAAGGGCGAATTCCGAGGACGGAATTCCTTTTGTTAGGGGGAAAGAATGTAATACCCCTAATTTTAAAAGGATAGTCTCGGTATTTATTTATTTATTTTTATTGTATTTTTTTAATTGTTTAATTGATTATTTGACTAATTGTTTATGTGTTTAATTGAATTAAGTGTTACTTGATTAATTGGCTACTTATCTATGTGTTATTTGTATTTTATCTAGGTATTATTTGTATTATTTGTTTAATTAGATTGTGTGCTTAAATGATGTATTTGATTAATTATAATTAATTGTAAATTAAATGATTAAATGTTTTATTTTATTTTATTTTATGGTTATGGTTAGTGGTAATGGGCTAACTAATTGTGTCCCATGAACTACTTGGATAGGAAGTTGGATGGGTATGGATAATTACCCATGGATAGTTGTATACATATATATATAGATATATATGTATACACATATATATAAAAAGGAAAGTAATTTATTAATATTATAGTAACTTTAGTATTAATAAATAATCTGATGTATATATTTTATATATTTATATAATAAGGATATACATATATTTTATATGTAACATGTTTTAAGTTACCTTTTTAATATTATGGTAACTTTAGTATAAATAAATAATCTGATGTATATATTTTATTTATTTAATGAGGATACAGATAGATTATATACGTAACATATTTTAAGTTACTTTTTAATATTATGGTAACTTTAGTATAAATAAATAATCTGATGTATATATTTTATTTATTTAATGAGGATATAGATAGATTATATACGTAACATGTTTTAAGTTACCTTTTAATATTATGGTAACTTTAGTATTAATAAATAATCTAATGTATATATTTTATTTAATTAATAAGGATATACATAGATTATATACGTAACATATTTTAAGTTACCTTTTTAATATTTTTATTTTTCTTTATTAAGTTGACTTGGATTGGAAAAAAGAATAGGGTTATTATTTAGCCTATAAATACACAACTATAGGTTGAAAAAGGAGTGAAAATATATCACGTAATATATTCTAGAGAGAGAGAGTTAGAGAGAGAAGGAGAAAGATGAAGGAATGAGGAGAAAACCCTTTAGAGAGAAAATCAAGGAAGAAGAAGTTTAACTTTCAGTCCGAAAGTTTAAGGCAAGTTCTTCTTCTATTTCTTTCCATTTGATTCGTGTTTCTGTACATGCCTAGGATATTCCAGGATTTATTAAACACATAAAATTAAATAATTATGCATGTTTAATTGGATTAGAACATAGGTTTTATGAATTTGGTTCATATCTGTTCTTGTGTTATGAATTGATAAATGCATAATTTTGATTTGATTTCCGGTGTAAATTTTTACATGTTTAAATTATGTATATTTCATATCTGTGGAATGATGGAACGTAGAAACATGCCTAGGATTCCTGAACATTAAATAGGAACTAGGTTTGGGTTTAAATAAATTTAAATAGACTCAATCATAATGATGCTTACTATTTGAATGTTTTAAACAAACGAATGAATTTAATCTTTTAATATGTTTTAACAATTAAGATTAAATGCGTAGGATGAATTGGATATGGAGAATGCTTAATTGACGGTATAATAAAATATCATCATATGTATAAGATTTAGTTTATGTAGGACATATGATATAGGAAACTTAAATAAATAATAAGTCATTCATATTTTGTGATAACTTGATATCATATTATCATAGTTATTTCTGGATTGTTTGATGTATTTCCTTAATCGTTACATCAATTGTTGAATTGTGTGATTTAATGCACCGGTATGGGACGGTGGCATTCTAGGAACGGATTAACTTATCAGTTAAGTCCTACCTATTTTATATAAGGGAATGGATTAACTAAAATGTTAAGTTCTACTTATATTCAAGTCAGGTCAGCTGAACAAGTTGAATGACTTATGGAGGATTAATTTATTATATAAGGGAATGGATTAACTAAAATGTTAAGTCCTACTTATATTCAAGTCAGGTCAGCTGAACAAGTTGAATGACTTATAGAGGATTAATTTATACTGAATAGGATGGTTACAAGATTTTATATATATAAGTATGGTGCCATGACATGAGCTTGAGTCTCAGGATCAGTGGTTAGGATGCGTATATTGCCAGGGATGTGTATCTAGATATAGTGTAGTTGTGTACCCTGGTAGGTCTAGGTACTCATGCCCACTATATGTGCGTTTTGCATGTTGCCTACTATTCAAGTTGAGACAACTCTATAGTCTAGTGAGGTTCCTTTAGTGTGTATATATATATATATATATATACGGACTACTAGTTACTGTTGGATTGACTAGGATGTATACGTGTATCGGATCTCTGCTTGGACTGTAGTAGAGTATAACTTGTTTGTGGGCCTGACCCACCATTATTTTTCAGGTGTTCGTCAGGAGTAAAGGTTGTTCGTGCTGAACGGGTATCAGTCTACTTCATTCTTCTGATGTTATATAGGAGTTCCTTTACAATTCAGTTTCCTGATTTAGACAGTTATTGCTGTCATTTGTTTAGTTTGGATTTTCTAGGTGTTCACACAGTATGGATTCCCGAGTTGTATTTTGGAGGATCAGTTGTATCAGAAGAGTTTATTAATTAATGGAAATATATTCTGAGGTTTATTATTAGATTATCATTTTAGTTTCTTGTCAGCATTTTATTTATTCTTCTTTATTCTTTTGTACTCTGTGTTCGTTTATTATCAATTTGTTTTGATATCCTCGGGTATTCGGGCGTGGGCCTGGCCAACCTGCATTCGGAAATCCGGGGGTATCACAAGTAAAATCGAAATTTCTCAAGATTCACACTAAATTTGTGAATTTATTGTCAAAAGTAGTCGAATTTTTGAACAAAATACGCGATTTTACCTTATACAATTCGTTGAATTGAACTTTAAAAACCGACGAATTCTTAAATTGAATTCGCGAATTCAAAAACATGAGAGCGTGAATTTTTGGCGAATTTGCTCTCAAAACGCTAATTTGCGCGCGGAGCGATGGAGCGCCCGTGGTTTGAGCGAATTATATGACTTAGGGTCCACTTGCTATTATAACTTTAAGCCTCAAGACAAAAAGAGTAAATTAGAAATATTAAAAAATAGTAATACATTGTATTATGAATTGGGAATTTGGGACAATTATTTTGAGACAGTAAAAAATATAAAAGTTCGACACTTCTTTGTAGGATAGGAGTATGTTTTAGATATTTGGACTCGGTATTAGTTGTTTTAGTATAATTTTGCCAAATTATCTTTCCTTACCCCAAGCTAAACTCAACTCCGTATCATGGTAGCACCTTGTTTTCAGATTTTTTTTTTTTTAATTATTATTTAAAAAAAAAAAAGAAAAAAAAAAAAAGAAACCCCGAAAGAATGTAAGTAAGAAAGTGCATTGAAAGCTAAGAGAACTTACAAAGTAAGGGGAAGTGAGGCTGGAGGCATACCACCCTTCACACTACAAGTGGAGCCCAAAAGTAAGGAAATAACCTCACAAAAGCAAATGCCAAAGGATGAATAAAGAAGCAGAAGCACAAAAGCAAAGGGTTGATCAACCTTGTGCTGAGCAAAAAGAATAGATTGTTGAACAAACCCATCTCATCTCAACAGGAAGAAAAGATGGACTCAAGGAGCATTCATTCTCTTGATGCCGTTCTATTACTCCAAGAATCAGCTACCTAATTAAGAGAGCTTAATTTAAATTTAACATAATACTATTAACAATATATCCTTTTGAATTAACTATACTTTTAACAAATAATCTATATTAATCCTCGTTGTTAATAGCAAATAATGCATAAATCATAAAGCTGGACTAATTCCTACTAACCAGACAGATTTTAATGTCAAAAAGTAAGAGCAATGCTTCCACCGAATTTTCCTCCATATTCATAGCAAATAATGCACCATTCATAAAGCTGGATTGATCTATTCCCAGCCACCAGAAAATATTTTAATGTCAAATTTTAAAATGGCTAGGGCATTGAACCCATACTTTAATTTAAAATTGGAAATATTATTATTCCTTTTATTATCATCAAAGACTCTAGTTTAATGATATCTCTCAATCTTCAAAAGTCAAAGCACAAAAAAAAAAAAAGAAAGAAAGAAGAAGAAGAAAAAAATTTGTGTGATCTTGTTTAGTTTAGTTTTCATAAATAATTTTTATTTTAAAATTGAAATTCCGAAACTTGGGGTGGCCGCGGATCGGATTAGTCATCAATCCTAATCCGACCAGCTCCCATCGGATTGAAAAAATCTTAATCCACCACCTATCGGTAGAATAACAGATCGAATCCGTAGAATGACGAATCGAATTAGATCCGTGGATTGGGTTTTTTTTTTAAATAGTTCAATATTGTTTTATTTTTTAATCATAACCCAATAGATAAAATTTCAATTTATTAACATTAATTCATGTGTTTAAATGATCATTAACTAATACATTATTTGAAAATATATATAAATCTCTCAGATCGATCCGATTGTGAATAACGGATTCAATTTTTTTTTTTTAATTCACCACCGATTCTTGAATATAGCAATCCGATCCAATCGAATTGAATTGGATTATTTTTTATTATTTGTCTACCCCTATAAAAAAATGGTACAAAAAATTATTTTATGAAAATTTAATTACAAAAATATCTGTTATCAAAAAATAATTTTTTATTATTTGAGTACTTGACAATTATTTTCAGAATAACAAAAAGTTTCTAATATTACTTTCTTGCACCCCAAAAGGTTGGAAGACTCCACTTGTTATCCCTTCCTTCACATTTTCAGTTTCTTAGCCTTGGCCCTTAGGTGCCTTGCAACCCATACCCCCCGATTCCAACTTCCCTTTGAATCCACATTTCTTACCCTTGGTCATTCATTTACCGTTCTTCAAACAAACCCCCACCATCCCCAGTCCCATCAAACACCTCTTTCTCCCTTCTCTCTCATAATTCATCCTGAATTTCAGTCAAGGGTTCCGCAAATACGGTCTATACACTCTGTCATCATCTATTTCCTGCCTCTTTCCATCCACCAAATCCCAACAAACTATATTGAATTCACAGATATTGTGTGTCTATAATATATATTTGGATTATTATTATTTGGATATTTAATATAAATAATACTTGTCTCATCATGTTGAAGAAAATCAAAAGAAGAGTCAAAATTATCATCAACAACACTTTCAAAAAGCCTCGCAAACCCTATAAACCCCCAACTCAACAACCAGAGCCACCACCATCTTCCTCTCCCTCTCCTCCACCAGAACCCCCACCACCAACCACCATGTCACCACCACGACAAACCCACAAAGGAAAAACCCATCCTTTCCTCTTCCCTCAAACCCAATCCACTGTCCTCCCTGACCCTTCCCGCTTCTTCTCTCCCAACCTCCTCTCAAACCCTTTGCCCACCAACTCATTCTTCCAAAACTTTGTCCTCAAGAATGGTGACCAACCTGAATACATCCACCCATATCTCATCAAATCTTCTCACTCCTCACTTTCTCTCTCCTACCCATCTCAGTTCTCCAACACTGTCTTCACCTACCAAGTAATCAATCAGGACCTTACAATCTCTGCATCAAGTAACACCAATCCCAATTCGACCCATATGGTCTCTTCATACAGTGATCTCAGTCTTACTTTGGATCTTCCTTCTAGCAATCTCAGGTTCTTTCTCGTCAGGGGAAGCCCTTTCTTGACTTGTGACACCATAGGCAAGGTTAAACTTTCCATTTCAACAATTCATGCCATTCTTCAGTTCTCTCCAAACAGTTCTCTCACTAAATACACCATCAAGCTTAACAATAACCAAACATGGCTTTTGTATAGTTCTTCGCCCATTAATTTGAGCCATGACATGTCTTCCATAAGTTCTGATAATTTTTCAGGCGTAATCCGGATTGCCCTCTTGCCAGATTCCAATCCAAGGTACGAAGCAATCCTTGATCGGTGCAGTTCTTGTTATCCGGTTTCCGGTGATGCGGTCTTAGCGAAACCATTTTGTTTGGAGTACACATGGGATAAGAAAGGTTGGGGAGAATTGCTCATGCTTGCTCACCCTCTCCATCTTCAGCTTCTTTCCACTAATGATTGCAAAGTTACTGTATTGGGCGATTTCAAGTATAAAAGTATTGATGGTGAGCTTGTTGGTGTTGTTGGAGATTCATGGGTTCTGAAAAGTGAACCAATTTCACTGACTTGGCATTCAAATAGAGGTATTAAAGAAGAATCATATCCTGAAATCATTGAAGCTCTTCGTAAGGATGTCGAGGGCCTAAATCCAAGCACAATATCAACATCATCATCTTATTTTTATGGGAAATTGATTGCAAGAGCTGCAAGGTTTGCATTGATTGCTGAAGAGGTGTGTCATCCTGAGGTGATTCCCGCAATCCGGAATTACTTGAAAAATAATATTGAGCCATGGCTAGATGGAACTTTTGAGGCAAATGGTTTCTTGTATGATGAAAAGTGGGGTGGAATTGTGACTAAACAAGGTTCATTGGATTCTGGGGCTGATTTTGGTTTTGGAGTCTATAATGATCACCATTATCATCTGGGGTACTTTCTGTATGCAATTGCAGTCCTTGCCAAGATTGATCCAGCATGGGGGAGGAAGTATAGGCCTCAGGCTTATTCGCTTATGGCAGATTTCATGAACTTGGGCAGGCGAACAAGTTCAAATTATCCCCGGTTGAGATGTTTTGACTTGTGGAAATTGCATTCTTGGGCTGGAGGGCTGACTGAATTTGCGGATGGGCGAAACCAGGAGAGCACAAGTGAGGCGGTGAATGCTTATTATTCAGCAGCTTTGATGGGGTTGGCCTATGGGGACACCCATCTGGTTGCCACTGGATCCACACTTTCAGCAATGGAGGTTTTGTCAGCACAAACTTGGTGGCATGTGAGAGAGGGGGACAAGATCTATGCAGAAGATTTCACCAGGGAGAACAGGGTGGTGGGTGTTTTGTGGTCCAACAAAAGGGACAGCGGGCTTTGGTTTGCTCCACCTGACTGGAAGGAGTGTAGGCTGGGAATTCAGTTGTTGCCATTATTGCCAATCTCTGAGTTTTTGTTTTCTGATGTTGGGTTTACAAAAGAGCTTGTGGAATGGACAGTGCCTGCTTTGGGAAGGGAGGGGGTTGGAGAGGGTTGGAAGGGATTTGTCTATGCCTTGGAAGGGATTTACAACAAAGACAGTGCTTTGGAAAAGATTAGGAACTTAAATGGACATGATGATGGGAACTCACTTACGAATCTTCTATGGTGGATTCACAGTAGAGGTGATGAAGAGGGATGTGAGTCAGGTGGGAGATTAAGTTGGTTTGGTCGCTACTATCACTGAATTAATATGATAGCTTCTGCTGGTTGGTTTGGTTCTCCTGCGTGCTGGAGGAATTTGAATAAAGGAAATGGAATATGATGTTGAGTGCAGCCAAGGAGAAATCTTGGAACATATATGTATGGGCATTCATGACTGAGTTGGTTTGTTTATTGTGTATATTTTCTGCTTATGATTTGATCTATATACAGATTGAAATAAGATGAATTATATTGCATTAATTGATAGTATTTGACTCATCATATGTGTTTAGGGCTTAGCTTCCAAAAATCTGGCCTGCTAGAAGGCTAATTTGATAATGGCTTAGTGTGTTCCGTGACCTAGAATAACAATATCGACGATTATCGGATATCATTGTGAAGTTGTTTTTTACATACTAGCTGGTGACTAAATTCACAATAAGCTTAGTTCACTCTGACTAGATTTGGTTATTCTTGGAGATTGGTTGAATTACTTTGTAGGAAACTGTTCATGTAGCTACGAATTATTGCATGCCATTTCTAATACCCACCCTCCTACGGTCCTACCCATCACAAGGGATGGAAATAAGTTGAGTTTGTGTTTTGTTGTTGCTTTGTGTGAACTACCCTTTGGACTGAACAAATCTATTACCAATAAGTTAATAAGAAAAGGAGTTTTATTGCTGCTTTAGAAACAGATGAATCAGAGAATTGGTGAACACGCATGCTTTGTGCCATGTAGGGATTTCAAGCCCGAAAATGTTGTCTAGAGACAACAGGAACCTGAATTAGTTTCTAATAGGAACTTGTATTTGAATATACCACATCAGATTCACAGTTGGGATGATCAAGTAGATAGAAGTTAACTCATAGGCAGATAACTTGTTCTCACTCCTCACTAAATTCTACCATGCGGTTGGTTTTAATTAATATTTCTTTTTCTTTTTCTTTTTCTTTTTTAATTTGTTTCCATAGTTTGAAATACTTATGTATTGTATTAAGTGATTGTCCTATACTGCTCAAGGACTGGATATTGATACCGAGTACTGAAGGACCTCTTCGTTTAGGGCAAATTTGCCATCCAAGACTAAGCTGCCTCTGTGGACTCTCTATAAATATTTACGATTTAATTGCTGAGGGGGAAAAGAAATTGGGAATCATGTATTAGTTTGTATTGGCCCCTTGCTGCTGAATTTTATTGCTTCGAAATCAATTAGAACAAAGGGGAATCAGTAAAACTTAGCTATCAAGATCTTCTTTCGATTTTTTTTTTGGTTTGGAATGAAAGTGTGGGAGTTGAGAAGTCAGTTAGTTTTGTTGATGCTGGTGCCTTGTTGATGCATGCTAATTCAAACTCCCTCCAAAAAAGGACAAGATAAAAAAATATTTAAAAAAAAAAAAACACCTCTATGCACATGAGGATTACCCTAAAGAAAAAACTGAACTGTACATTGATGTTGCATAATTTTCTGTATGTACACTTTTACCAGCAATTCTGCTTGGTTGGTCTTGTTCAAATGGCTCTGTTAGCAATTTATGCTGATATGTGTAAAGTTTTTGTGTTTTCATTTGGCATATATTACTAGTGTTGTGCACAGTATTTTTTTTATTTTTTATTTTTCCTTTGTTGTTATGCACAGTTTTGTAGAAGGTACTTTTAACTCTTTCTTTACCAATGTCTTGAATTTTGAATTTGTGAACAATCTTATCCTTTGCAATCTATAATGTGAGAATGACCAAGAATGATCCTAGAATCTTGTAGCTTTAATATATTTCACAACAATTCACATTTAGAATATCACATACTAGTAAGTAGCTACATTCCTGTTGGAGTAGCAATTTCTGCGTCATGTGATCTATGCATATTACAAAGCACCTTCTATTTTTCTCATTACATTGTGCTGCCTCTTTCTCTTTGCTCATAACCTGCTTGTTTTACTTTCATTTCTGTTTCTTTAGACGGCATAATATGCTTTGTCGACGGATAATATTTAGACTCTGATAGTTATTTTAGAGAGAGGGAAAGTGGTAAGGCAGGTTCTTCAATAACATGCCTCCAGCGTTGTCGCTTGAGATGTTCAATTCAATGTTGCTTCTTTTTATACTTAAGAGCTGAATATAGCAAAACCATCTGTGTATAAGCAACCTTTATTTCCAGTTTTGCTGCTTTTGACACTTGAAAATGCTGATTAAACTTCACTAATGAGCAATGTAAAAAAATTTGTGCTATTCTTCTTCTTCTTTTTTATTTATTTATTTTTTATTACAAAAGCAAGAATTAACCTCAGCAAGCTGTTATTCTAGTTCAAATATAGCATTTTCTAAAAAAGGACATTCATCTTTGACTCTATATTTTAAGCGTTCATATCTGATTTTGAGATATAGAATATTAATTTATTCCAGCAGTTCTCACCTTCCCTGTAATTTACTTTACGAACCAGAACTTTCCTGTAAAACCCCATAAGCCATATAGAATTCAATTGCTAATTTGCTACTCACAGATTAAGTAGTAATATGAAATAGATTGATTGAGATCATTACTTGGGTTTCAAAACCAACTTTCCCCTCAAAATTGGCTCCCTAATACTGCCAATGAGGATAACTTAACATTATTACTTTGGGTGAATTTACTATTAGATCTGCTCAAGAGAAGATTAGACCTAAACAAAGTACTGTGGTAGGGGTTGACATTGTTTGGTTTCCAGATGCTATTCCAAAACAACATTCATTTATCGTATGGATAACAGGTTTCTTACTCAAAATTAGTTGGTGAGTATCGACATTATAAAAGATATGAGCGGTATTTCGTCGAAATAAGTTGGAGGATAGAAATCATTTGTGTTTTTACTGCTTGTTTACTAGCAGATTATGGTCCTATATAGCTGCTAACGGTGCAGTTCAATGGTCTTTATACTCTTGGCCTGAGATATTCTAAATAAACTGGCCTTTTCTGCTGGCTGCTGCAATTTTTATGTGGTCTAGCAGGAGAGAAATTGTAGATTGTGACAGAACGAATACAAAGATGTGACATATTCTGGCTAATTTTTGCTTACTGCATGGTTCAGCTCATGGCTCTGTATTTAGAATTGTCAACGGACCGGATCAAAATCCGATCTAAATCAGATTCGATTATCTGGATATGGTTTGAGAAAAAAATCCGATAATCCGTTACTTAAACAAAATGGATATGGATTATAGGTAATCCAATCCAATTAAAACTATATATGTATATATATTTTTTTATTATTGCATTATAATATTATATACGTGAATGTTATATATATATGTGTGTATATATATATATATATATATATATATTAGTTATTTACTGTTAAATTTATATATATTAATTATTTACCGGTGTATTCATTTGGTTGCATAGTGATATTATGCAAAATCCTATATGTATTAACTATTCTCCACTCTATCTAACCTTATAACTATATCCAATCTGAATCCAAGCTAAATAGGAGATAGATTGGAACATTAAATCTGATAATTCGTTAGCGATCCGAATTTGATAATTCGTTAACTTAACAAATCGAATATGAATTTGATCGATCTAATCTGAATCCTATCGGTTGACATGTCTATAATGTGGTATGGGTTGTGATGGCATTCTGTCAGAGTATACAGAGGATTCTAAATGTTGTTTTGACAGTCTGGTTCTTCTATTTGTTTGTTTTGATGTCTGTTATATATTTGCTTCTTTGTGGAACATGGTCTCTAATGTCATAATGTCATGCATGGTTGAGAAGGGCTGGTACGCTTCCATCAGAATTTTATGCAGCAAAAAATAATAATAATAAAAATTTGTCGTGCATTCTAGTATTGTTTGTAGAGCTAGATTTAGATTTGGGGTCTTAACAGTATAACTAGGCTCGATTGGTTAGGTAGAAATTGTATATGAAATTTTATTGACCGCTTTAAAAGTTTGGTAGAAAAATTAGTAAACTTTGGGTGCTGAAAATTTACTAAACTTTGATAAAACTGAAAATTTATAGACTTAAATTTTAAGTGCTGGAGTTTCAAGTGGTACTTCAAAAATAAATATTTTTTATAACGTTATATCTGGTAGTTAATTTTTTTCTCAATTTTATGTCTTGTCAGTGTTATTTTCCATCAAAACAAAACAGAACAGAACTAAATTCTTGACAATCCGACAAGAAAAGAAACATACCTTTCAATGGGGAAATAATCCAGAGCGTGCGTTACGGACAATGACAATGATATGGCCCAATTGCTCTTCTTATGTTAACTGTCCTCCCTTGTTTGTCTCTGAATTTTTTTTTTTTTTTCCTTCCTTCCTTACTGGGAGTCTGGGATGCTCTTTAATTTGTGCAGTTGGGATTTTCAGGAATGTGTGCCCGCAAGTCAAATTGTGCATTTGCTTTATGTGTTTTGTTAAATGAATTATCATGCTCTCATCCAAAATAGTAATAATAATAAAACCTCTTGAAATAAAAATAAATGAAAAGAAAATCATGACTCGACGATTTTTTTTTTTTTTTTTTAACTTACGACTACAACATAATGATGTGTTTTTTTACCCTCAATGTAGTTCTTTGCAGTCATTTCATTTTCTCTTTCAGCCCCATTAAGACAATACCCTTACTTTCTGTCTAACAAATTCGGTGTCTATTTACACACCAAAACTATTTTTTTAAATATATTTATATATATATATATATAATAAAATAAATATTTTATACATCTAAGCACATACATACCCAACAAAGAGAAAAGAATAGGTCCATATGCACGCACATGCACCTCACAAAATTTTACAATTTTTTAGTTATTGGATTTTTGAGAAACCAACTTCATTTTATGATGAATAATCACTTTAATGCTTATATTACTCAAAATTCAACTTCATTTTATGATTAATAATTAATAATTTTATTAATAAATAAGTAATATATTTTTAATATATATTTTTTAGAATCTTTCTTATTTGATAAAATTAAAAATTAAGTACTGAAAATTTTAAGAAATGAATTTTAAGTACTTATAAATTTTTAAGTGATAATTAAAAAATAATAATAATTTGATACTTTTATGAATTTTTTTGTTAAGCATTCAATGATAAGTGATGTTCTTATAATTTAAAATTTCATTTCAAATGGTATTTATATTATTGCGCTATCAAACACACTTAATTAGATAAACATTCATCACATTCAAAATTAAGCTAAATTGAATAATCAAACAATACTTAAATTTTAAAATTATAAATAACGTGTATTAATATGCAACTA